TTCACGGAGCATTTTCGTCGTTTGGCTCCTAAATTGAAACGGACTGGGGCCGCGCTCAAGCGGCTCCTTCCCAACCTAGCCTCCTGCCGGAGGTTGTATATGGGGATTGTGCGATCCATGGCCCTCTATGGGGCCCTGTGTGGGCGCCAGACTTGAGGCGGCGGCCAGCTCGCACGCTGGTCGCGTCCCAGAGGGTCATGGTTATCCGGATAATCCGCGGATATCGCACGATCTCCGGTGAGGCGGCGAACCTCCTTGCCGAATCACCGCCGTGGGATCTGGAAGCGAAGGCGTTCGCGCGCGTCTACAGTTTGCGCGAAGACGCGCGTCGCCGGGGCGAAGATCCTCTGCCGCGCCAAATTAGTGCGTGGCGGAATGATCTCCGGCGAGATCTCATGGCTGAGTGGAAGCGACTGTCGCAACCGAGGGCCGGACACGCTACTATAGCAGCGGTAAGACCCCTCTTTGAGGAGTGGCTTAAGAGACGCCACGGTTACCTCACCTTCCGCCTGACGCATGTGCTTACCGGACACGGCAGCTTCGGTAGGTTCCTGTTTCGGATCCAGTAGAATCGCCTGAGTGTCGTCATTGTGTGGACCACCTGGAGGACACGGTGGAGCATACGATGGCGGAGTGCCCTGCTTGGGCTGAGCACCGCCGTGTCCTCATGGAAGTGATCGGTGGCGGCGACCTCTCGCGCCCGGCCTTAATCGAGGCCGTGGTTCATAGCGAGAGGAACTGGGAAGCTATCGCCTCCTTCTGCGAAGCAGTTATCCGTGAGGGAACTATCCTCCTCGCGCCCCAGCCGCCGCAGAAGGCGCCATTCCGGGCGTCGGGGATCGAGAGATGATCTCCGGCCACCGAAAGCGCGGGTCTGCGGACGGCGAGTAAGGGTAGCTCGCCGCCCGACCAGAACCAGAACCGAGCGTACGGCGCGCAGACGGGGCCCAATGGGGCTGATGTTTAGCCGGGGTTGCGGGGTAAACGCAATGAGGCACCGCGACCTCGGCCCAGAGCAGGTGAAGGAACGGGGGGGGTTTTTAGTCAGTAAGAGTCAGTGACACTTCCTCCCGCCCGGCCCTGGGCGGGAGAAGTCATTGGATGATTTTCACCTGACAAAAAAAAAGCGCCCGATTTATCAAAGTCCGGGGAACATCGGCTAGTTGGGAGGGATGGTACAGCTACAGGTTACTTCCTGTGGAGAGGGGAATACTACCTGCAGGTGAATGGAGTGGCTATGGGGTCGCCACTGGCGCCAGTGGTGGCTAACATCTACATGCAGTGGTTTGAGGGTCAAGCCATGGCATCCGCCCCGGTACGACCGCGATATTGGTGGAGGTACGTTGATGACGTATTCGCAATCATCAACCGGAAACATGTGGCTGAATTTGTGGGACACTTGGACTCAGTGCACGTCAGTCACACACAGTGTATCGCAAACCGACACACACAGAGATGATGATGTTAGTCAGCTCATAAGTAGAGCTTACGAGCTGACTAACATCATCATCCTTCCCACCTAACCGGTCTGCCGTACTTATTAAAATTACAGTAAGTTACATTGTGGTCGATATTGAGTTAAATACATGTATATTTGGATTGTACAAATTGAGACCTACATTTCTGTTTATTTAAAATTTAAAAATGTGGTATAGTAACCAAAGATTTGGTATAATTACAGCAAGTTACATTTGGCGCCTATACATACTTATAATTAATGTGCCAATTATGAACAAAAACTTTATCCGAAGTTTCCCTATGTGAAAGTAAATTTAGAAACGTACCGCAAAATAGTAAAAATATATTTAAATATATGTATAGTTTAATCATCTAGCAAAGAAGAATATGACTTGTGTACTATATTTAAACTACATAACCAAGGATATGATAAAAATCCAGATACTACGCGTGATGTTCGTAACAAGTATAACGCTCTTAAACTAAGACATACAGAGTGCCCAAATAAATGTAAAGAAGATGTTGATAATATCATTGTTGTCAACTACAATCCGTTATTCCGTTGATTTACAAAAAGTAATCATGTTACTTAGATTAGACTAATATAATATAAAGCATCAATTTATTACCCCAGATTATAAATTTTTCGTTATTTTTTCTTTAAATTAAATGAAAGTTTCGTGCCATTAGGAAAAACATCCAAAGATGAAATGCCATTCGCAGTTGGTTGGAATGAGCCTGTATCAGGTCGCTATCGACATGATATAATTATGTTTAGGGCTTTTTTGATTCATAAAGGAGATGTCAAAAAGATTAACCGAAGAATATTTAAATCGAAGTATTATTTAGTTACTGACTGATAAATAATTTACTGAGTAGCTGTAATATGCATCGATGCCTTTTTATTAATTTTGATGACTGATTTTGTTAAATTCGTGTAATGACGATGTCACAATCTAGTCATAATAGTTAAGTGTTACACCTCGTGGCACTTGCGAGAAACTAATGTGCCTTCGAAGACTGAAAGTTAATTTGAAAGCAATTTTATTTTTGAAAAAAAAAGTGTATTTTTTAATGTTTATTGTTTTTTTATTTTGTGTAAAAAGGATAACAAACTTGAATGAAAAAATAAACGGTGTATAGGTTTGATTTTTTAGAAACAATACTTAGATTATTTGGTTTTTAACAAGAATTATAATTGATATGTTTTATTATTATTTTAAATGTTACTAATAGAACTGATTCTTATTGATTTTAAGGTAATAATACGACTTTGTATTTAAACTATTATTGTACCTTTTAATTTTTTTTAACTACTTTTATATAGATTTAAGCTTTACAAATAAATATTATTAAATTATTAAATAATCACATTTTTATCTACAATTAAAAAATACTTAGTGGAGGCTTGTAGTTTTGAAGATATGGTAAAAATAAAACCTTTAACCGCCATTTTGTCGAAAGTGTCTCTATGTCACTTACTGTATATATCACAAGCACGACAGCGCTGTTCCCCGGACTTTGATAAACCGGGCGCTGAGTCTATGCGATCCGCAGTACATTGACGACGAATTTCACCATTTAAAACGGATACTGGAAAACAATGGATACAACTGGCGTCAATGTACTCGACTAGCGAGCAGCTCGAGTAGGAAGCGATCGGCAGTTACGGAAAGGACTCCAGCGTTCTTAACATACGTGAAAGGAGTAACCGACAGAATCGGACACCTGCTGCAAAAACGATCTTTCGCCCACCCGGTCAGCTGAGACAACTGCTACGCTCGCCACAGGATAAGGATCCGCTGGCTGAGCCCGGGGTGTACATAATACCGCGCGACTGTGGCTCGAGTTACATCGGCGAAACTGGGCGCAACATCACAACCAGGCTAAAGGGGCATATACGCAGCGTGAAGAAGATTGACATCCAGGCATCGGCTATGGCTGAACATGTTTGCGGTACGGATGCTGTTCACTTCATACGGTTTGATAAGGTCTCCGTACTAGCGAGGGAGAAATACTTCGTTCCGCGAAAAGTGCGAGAGGCCATCGAGATTAGCCGACGTCCGTACTTCAACAGGGATAGTGAATGGGCACTGCCACCCGCGTGGAAGCCGAGCTTAGAGACTACGTCGGTTCGGGGCGTATCAGGTCTGGAGTGTGACACAGTAAGCGTTATATGTAACACTGACTTTGTGCTGGGCCCGGAATCGAACCCACTACCCGCGCCACTGGTCACACGCGCCGCCGCCGGTGTTGGAAGCAAACGCGCGTAGTATCCGGCAGATGGCGCGTTAGACTCGCCGCAGCGCAACCATTTACAGCGATGCAGGCGCCAACGCTCATGATGAAGAACCCCTCTATGGTTCGAAACTAGTAGAGCTTTTTTCAGTATGTTTACGTTTATATGTTGTTTTAGTAGGCATTTTCTGTAATAGGCTATATATATAATATAATTCTGAAGAACAGAAAAGTTTATTACTTTACTGTGTATTTTTTTAAAGACTTTATAAAGTTTCTTACATAAGTAAACCAGCCGGCCAAATATTATTAAGTGACTAAAAAGTCTACATTTTAGTAGTTATGTAACTTACAACTTCTTAAAACTTCCAACATAGTTTGGATGACGTCGGTAGACATATGATTTATCGTATTGGCTCTTCTGGTGAATCCAGCCAGTGACTGTAATAGTGGAGATTCGTCCATTCCGACTGGTACAGGCGGCTGCGGCATATGCAACAAACACGTATCATAACCAGTCTCTTTAAATATATACTCTTAAAATATATTTTAAGAGCTATAAAACTTTTACTTTCTACAACAGTTCGTTGATTACGAAAAACGCACTCGATCAATGGCGCGTTAGACTCGCCGCAGCGCAACCATTAACAGCGATGCAGGCGCCAACGCTACTAACCAGCAGTAGGCTCCGCGACATCGCCGGTTCCGCGCACGCTGCTCATGATGAAGAACCCCTCTATGGTTCGAAACTAGTAGAGCTTTTCTCAGTATGTTTACGTTTATATGTTGTTTTAGTAGGCATTTTCTGTAATAGGCATTCTGATGTTGGAGCCGGAAGACAGTCGAGGGATCTCTTTCACTGTTTGAGTAATTGCCTTGTGTTTGGGTTTCGTATTGATGATAATAATTAGTATTGAAACAACACAGTAAAACAGCTGTATACTGTGTAATGGACCATTTAATTTGCGACTAAGTGAGTTTAGCGACACTGGTTCTCCTTTTGAGAAAAGAGCCCCCCTCACTTCTACTTAATTTCCTGTTCTGTGGAATTATTAAATTTTTGCCGACCTTTTCTTAAGACGTGAACATTTTAAGAACTTTGTTTTAACCAAAATTAACCGGTTTCTTCGACAAGCGACTTGTTTGTGGTTAACATGGGTAGAAAACGTCGAATCAAATTTGTGCGCGTGTCGTTTCTTAACAGTAGGTTCAAAACCTAAACCCAAACCAGGTAAATATTTATTTAAATATCGGTTTAAATTTCTATTATTATTAAATATGTTAAGACAACTGCTGTCCTTTTAATTTTGGGAATGACGTCATTGGTACGATATACGGTTAACATTTTTTAGTGTCCAAACGTTATCTGAACTGGCCTAAAATTCAAGATCTATTATAAAAATATATTATTATATAATGTTATAACCTATCAGTCTTAAAAGTTCGCAGCTTTCGAAAAGCCTCATGTTATTTTTTTTTATACATCATAAAGGGAACAGGGGCAAAACAAGGAATGTCACACAAAAATGAAATATACATTAAGTACGGCAACCATTCAAGTAAGGCAGATACTGAATTTTATGGTACTGCTGCGGACTACCAAAAATGTGCCACTACCTAACATCACTTCATCATGCATAAGCGAAGAAGAAAACCAGAATGTAGAAGAATCACCTACCAAAATAACTTGCCAATTAGTACAGCAACAGACACAAGCCTATTTTGAAGGCGTCACCCATACACATATATACTCCGTATGGGTTCTAAAGGACATTTTATTTTTAAACTTTCGCATTACATATTATTACTTTACTGTTTCACGGGATTACATCCGCCATGGTTAGAAGCAGACACTGCTGGTGACCATGGCAGGTTTAACCCTGCCAAAACGTCAAGCAAAAACAAATAAAAGGTACGTGTGTATACCTCAGAATAATTACATCTAGAATCTATCAGTGCTCAAGGTCATTTCGTATTGAAAACTACTGGCGATATTTTTATTAACAATGACGGATTGTGCACAGATGTCACAGTACATTAGAAAAGCACAAGGAACTTAACAATATAATATTTCAAAAATTAAGTAAGAGGCTTTAAATAGCTGTGTGTTTCCCCACTTATAGGGAAAATTTAATGTAATGTCAGCATTATTTTTTCAATGTGTGCGATACGTCTACCGTAAATACAGGAATCTTATGCACACATCAATTTGAATCTTGTTTCACTTTTGACAGAGCGTTTTGAAGAGAACTATCGTTCTAGGTGTAACTATTCTAAGTATTATACAAAAACTTGTGTAAGTAGCATTCCTTGTTTTGTCCCTGTACCCTTCTAAATTAAGAAAATCCTTTAAGGTTGACTTTGCACAAAATACACATATTAACCATCTTGCTTAGTCAACATAATAATAATATTTCATCAGCATTCGCAATAAATTTCGCTGTAGAGAGCGTCGTCATAAATTATTTATCTTTGTGCTTTGGACTGATCATATTGAATATTGAATGTACATACCGCAATGTTATTGGTATGGACCAAAAGGTGGCTGGGGAGGATATCTGGCCATAAGATACGCGTTATAATTTTGTGCATTATGCGCCGACGGTGCTGGTGCCGTCGCAGTCGCCGTCGCCGTCGTTGCCGTTGAAGAACGAGCCATTTGAGGATTTACTGCCACTCGCACAGGAAAGTTTGGATATGTTTGATGGGCATTTTGTACACCTAAAACATTTACAAAAATAAATATTATCACAAAGCGCAAAGCGATTTAAATTAAATTTTCAATGGATAGTAACTTACTACTTGACGTAGAAGGATAAGCTTGTGGATAGTAACCTCTCGTAGGTGGTGGAGGAACAGCCGGCTGGTACGGTAAATACGTTGACGGCGTAGTCACTGCTCTCACGTGTGATTGCGGGGCAGTCGGTGGATGGGAAGCACTAGGCGGATGGGGTGCAGTTAAAGGATGAGATGCTTGTGGAAGATGAGGACCACTAGGGGGATGAGGCGCAGTCGGGGGATGTGGTGCGCTTGGAGGATGGGGAGCAGCCGGGGGATGAGGGGCCGGCGTTGGATGAGGGGCAGTCGGTGGACGGGGTGCAGCAGAAGTAAGGGGTGTATTCGGCAGGTGAGGCGCATTAGTCAAGTATACCGCCGTCGGTGGGTGTGAATGAGACGAAGCTGAAGCCACTGTGTTGACCATTCCACTGGCGAATGTTCGCACCGTTATGTTGGTTGTGCATGGATATCTTGTAGGAGTCGTAATAGATGCCAAAGTGGCACTGTCTGTTGTATGTCCATTGATAAATTGTCCAAAATTATTGTTGCTAACATTTGAAGCACTTGGCCTGCTTCGTTCCGTATTTAAAAGTTCTTTTGCGCGCGATTCGTTTAGGCTTCTTTCATTTGTTAATGCCGCAGCTGAAAAATTAAATCAAAAATATTATTTGGTAAGTACCAATATGCTTTAAGAACTAAAATATGTACCATAAAATTGTATAACCTATAATACTACGATTTTTATTGCAAAAGACCAGTGAAAGCAGCAGCAAAGCAATTCCACTTTAAGTCTTAGTAGGCCTATTCTGAAGTGTGAGTGACTAAAAAGTCTACATTTTAGTAGTTATGTAACTTACAATTTCTTAAAACTTCCAACATAGTTTGGATGACGTCGGTAGACATATGATTAATCGGATTGGCTCTTCTGGTGAATCCAGCCAGTGACTGTAATAGTGGAGATTCTTCCATTCCGACTGGTACAGGCGGCTGCGGCATATGCAACAAACACGTATCATAACCAGTCTCTTTAAATATATACGTAAAATATATTTTAAAAGCTATAAAACTTTTACTAACCGTTTCTACAACAGGTCGTTGATTACGAAAAACGCACTCGATCAATTGCAGTAGAAATTGTCTTGGCACGGTAGAAGTTTCCTGAAAATGTAATATTACATAATATGAACACTGATTATTTAGAACTTAGTACGCGTATCGCGTGGTAGCACCCGGACCTAGGTGACGTAATTAAGCAGTCCAAGTCCAAATAATCCAAGCAGATGAGGGAGGCTCAGGAGCATTCACTGACTTCAGAGAAATAAGGATATCGGCATAGGATTTGCACACTTGACTGAAGGGTGAAGCTTAAGAGCTTCTGAATAGGAAATGTAGTTCTTGCCCATAGACTCTTTTATAACTTTATGCGTAGAAAATTCAGGACATTTTCTACTGGTAGCAATATGGGAACCTGAACAAAGGCAGCGAATTGGATCATCTTCAGTTATTGAACATGTGCCACCAGAATGAGCTCCTCGACATCTGAAGCATCTCGAGACTGATCTGCATTGACTTTGACGTGTCTGAATCGACAGCACTAGAAGCACTACAAAAGAGGTGTAACACATGAAGACCCTTTTGGGATGAACCCGCCCATAGTAATCACAACAGTCTCTATAGGAGTAAATTCAACTTTATTATTCAGAACAGCTTTTCATTTTAAACGGTAAATTTTAATTATGCTATGACAGCTGATTGGTACATATAAATTGTTCATCACCTCGTCAGAGAAGGGATAAAAGCCTTGTATTTATGATCTTTCAAAACATCACTGGTAATGAAACTGTCAGCATCTTCAAATTTCGAAAAGGGTAAGGAAACACTGTTTCTGCCGATTCTTTTAAAGTTTCCAACAATGATGTTCCGGAAATTGTTTTAATTCATAAAATAACCAAAAGAAACCGGATGGATTATGTTTATATTTTCATCTGTTCCTTTTGAACGTGGACAACGAATGGGGCAACATCGGGACACTGATACAGGGTTCTGCCAACTGGAGCACGAGCTACATTATTTTCATTTGAAATTGAATTGACAATAATAGTAGGAGGCGCAATTAGTGGAGTTTGAACAGAGTTACTATAATATTGGCATTGGCAATCGCAATCTTCTCCTTTAACAGAAACAGAAGTCGACTTTTGTTGGCGCCTTTTTATTGCATTTTGGGGATGCACGTCATACACATTCTTATGCTTTCAGATTCGTCGTTGGAGGAGGTATGGAGCCTCCTCCCGGATCAAGAAGAGTTAAAAACTTACCAGAATCCTCAAATTAAATATACAAATTATGAAACTAAACTAATTAGAATAACACGTACAATCTACTACTTTCCTGATCCTTTACACAAGAAAAATAATTAAATTAATTTAAAGCAAAGAAAAAAACTCCCGCCAAAGCCGACGTTTCCCGCGCTTCCCACGATAATCATTATTTTTCTTAATATCACATTCCAAATTTGGAACATAAAGAATCATGCAGGATGATTCAAACAACATGCTATCTATATAGCATGTATCGTCAAAGTAATAAAACCTTTGTCATAAAAAGAAAAAAATTAAGTGCCTGTTTGTTTTGAGTTTATTTATCCCTGCACATTGAGCTAACAAGTTTGCTTAGTAGAGTTTTTTTCTACAGTTCAGTTAAATACATATAAAAAATCACTTACAGAAGCAAATGAAGGGGTTTGATTAAACTGGGTTAGCAGATCATGAATTTGCGCCGGCTCAGATGACTCCTACAATAAGAATAAGAAAAATACTATTAATTATTTTTCATTATTTATTAAATTATAAAAAACTTGTATCTTTCTAGTACCTCTATATACTCATCCAAAATCCGGAACCAATCTGAGCTGACAGCTGACTTCAGCAACAGTCTACCATTGGCATACTCAGCAGACTTCTTCTCGAATATGTAGGACTGATATTCATGCTCACACTCCAGCTTCTGCAATTCCTGGCGGTACAGCTCAGACCTAATGAATATTTTGATTGTTCATTAATGTATCTCGTGCGTTAGCTTGCTATACAGTTATATATTAGCGTATAGCAACTATTTTCTAATATGAAATAAGCTATCTTTTATAAACGTTACACTCGTATTATTATATTGCAGGAATCAAAACACCATAGGATTTATTACCATCAAGTTAAATGCAATCCCAGGTTCAATTATAATCGCTGTGCAGACATCTCAGATATCAAAGTTAACAAATCCACGATTTTAGTACGACCAGCGATTTTTCATATTTAGCTTCTTTCGACATCAATAAATGTTTGAATCAAGTAGTAGAATTATAGCCGAGATGTTGTATTATATTGGGCTTAGCAACTTACTTGGCAATTTAATTAATAGTCATTTGGCCAAATGTCAATGCTAATTAAGTGCGCAAAAGAGGATCCTGCCACTCGCGTGTTGAAGAAATTTATATATAATAACAAACGGTTGTCTATCTTACTTGTTATATCGCACAGCATCATAGCATATTACTTGAAGCCCGCGTGCTTTTTAACCATTAAGCTCTTTGATTGCATATTAATTAGTGTTAATCAGTGAACCGGTTGTTTAACTGTAGCGATCACGAGGTCTGCTTGAGTTTTATATAATTTTGCATAATGCAAGCAAAAATCAAAGTAGTAAACAATAATAATATATTGCTAAAATTCGCTTCTCCACTTTTAAAAATTAATTCGTAATTAGAATGCGCTTCGCTTTAAAACACTCGCCGATTCATTACCACTCTCATACATCACAGTGTCAAACCTTACCCCGGAAAAATAACACAGCGCTACTATTTCTTAAATAATGTCATGCGAACAAGTAATATGAAGAAGAATCTCATCATTGCAAACCTGAGTTCCCGCTGGATACAGTTTTCGCAGCCGTCAACTTTGACGCAGTCCGCTTTCTTGGTTTTGCTTGGCCCGGCTGAGAACAAAATAAATATGCGCCAAGCAAATAACATTAGCTATCCTAATGTAATTATAAACTAAATGCAATAAACTTTTACATAATAAAGTATTGTCTGCCTACAGGTTCTCTTTTGAAAGAAGACAACACCTAACGCTTTTCAAGGATTATGACATGAATAATACACAAAACCAGTTATGTTCTTAACCTGACTGATAGTTACATTATCAAAAATAAAATAACCAATGCATGACCTTATTCAGTGACTGTGTATGTGTACAGCAGCTAGTTCCTGACAATGCTTATATACTATTATAACAACTAAGCCTGGCGGCTGAGATGCATCTATCACTAATTTATAAGTATTAACAGTTAAATAAATACTGCACAATGGACATCGCTAAAACTGCCAACAGACTAATGTGCTCTTAAAATGATTTTTTATACTATTTGTTCAAGATTTATTATTCTTAAATTGGTTAAAAATCGTTTATTATTTTTAAATTGATTGCAAACTTTTAATTCAATAATAAAATACCATGAGTCTTGTTTTGTCTTTAGATATGTATACACTGCATTTTAAATAAAACCTTCCTATTTACATTAAATAAGTTTAGATTTCTAATTAAATTCTAAAACAATATACCTATAAATCGTGATAAAATATCTCGATTGTGCCAGACTTGAATAACAATTGTTCTTAAGTAACATTTATCTTGCCATCTCATAATCTCAGCAAACTTTGTAATCAAAATCATGCTTCTCTGTTTAATCTAATACGAGTAGGTCATGACAAGAACATAATTTTCATTGCTTGTAATTTTCTGAAGAATAGTAGAAACCGCGATTTAGTCACAACCTGATTAAAAAATTTATCAGTATTATTCAGCTTATTTTTTATGTATTTCTAATGTGATGTCTCAAATATAGACAATGTTGAAGAAAAAAATGCTTGTACCTTTTTGGATGTAAACCAATCTGGCAAAATGTATATCATTAAATGAATGTGATACAAAAGAAATGATTGTGATATGTCAAAATGATGAAACAATAATATAAATATAAGAGAAAAGGAAGATGTTATTTTATACATCTATAAACTTATGAGTTAATTAGTAATTAACAATACAAAAAGACTCAATTTTATAAACAAATAGAAGTCACATTAGAACCAAATATTCAAGCTATTCCACAAAATGTATTGCTAAATATTCGCGCATGCTATTCATTCTTTTATTTTAAATACCCTTTAATGAAAAAATTTTTTTTCTACGCTGAGCATCAATTAGTGAATGTTAAAAAAAACAAGTAGCTGATTTTGTTACAGTTAAGATTGAAAACATGTCATAACATAATATAATCTTTATTCTGTTGTATGTATAGGCACTCTTCTCTTTTTGTTTAACTGGTTGGTGACGCTATGTTTCTGTAACCACATATCAGCAATTCTACACTTTTAAATCAAATGTCACACATAAATACATAAAATCAAATCAAATAACTCCCCAATATATCTTAAGGTTTTTACTAGAGCTACTATTTTGTTTCAAATACTGATGAATTTTATTACTGAAGGTATTTTGTAACATTTGTAATGAAAACAATCGCAATTATTTTCATTCTCCTTGAGTACCAGTACTTTTTTATCACCTTTCAATAAGGTCTTCAGGTTAAGACATTTAGTCTACCAACATACTGTAATAATACAATATTAATGATAATTACCCTCATCAGAAAGTTCTGCAGAACGTTTGATGGCGCCATTTTTGTTTGGAGTTGCATTAGTTGGCAATGGAGGAGGAGGTCTGCTAGCATCAAACCTGCAAAAATATGTAAAGATTAAAAACTGGGGTTATAATTTTTTGATCACAATAAAAAGATATTTTATTTACATGTTGTTGCAGAGTTACAAAGAAAGACTTACATATGTGGCAATGGTGGTGGTGGCTGAGTTGCAGTAAACATAGCAGAAGCATTAAAGGCAGGTGGAGCTGTAAAAAATAATAATATTAAGTTACAATTTCATATAACTACAAATTGCACTAAACATACTTTATATGTTGATCTAGCACAACATTCGAGCAGTATAAAATCGGATGCAGCATAAGTTATTTCATAACATTGCCTAATCTGCACACTAGATTTGACAGGCTAAAATATTGCATTGAGTAGTGGGAACAAAATTGGTTGCACCTAATGACCTGTTTTCTGTTTCTGTGACATACCAAATTATTTATTGTTAAGGACAACTAAAAAGCATACACCAAAAATTCATGTTTGGTTCTTAACATGGCATGGTGTAATTATAATTAAAAACTGTTACATATTTAAAATTTATCATATTGCATATTTAAAAAAATCAAAGTCTAAGTCTCAAGTTTAAACAGATTCCATGGTTTGAGAATTCAATTTGAATAACTGCTAAACAAAAACATACCTGAGAATATGGGTGGTGTCATCTGAACAGGTGCAACAGCTGTGGTTGGCGGCGGCGGCGGCGGCGGTGGAGGCGGCGGCGGAGCAAATAAAGTAGGTATAGATACTGGAAGTGGTGGCAATGCAGAACTTGGCGGTGGAGGCGGCGGCGGTGGCGGCGGAGGTGGCGGTGGTGCTTGAGCTATATACTCGTTCACATACATGCTCATCGGTGCGTTAGACATAGCTGCATATCTTTCCGCCAGAGCTCTGGGTATTTGTCCTGCGGTTAGAAAGAGGTTTTCTTCTTCTCTACTTGCGTGCAAGTATGTGCAATCTGATCTAGTACAGCCAGTTTTGTTTTGATAGTCGTGACAGAACCTCAAAATCTCTTTCATATATTCGACATCTAACTCGTGTCGAAATTTACATTGAGCACCTTTAGTGCATATGCCCCAAACAAAGTCACGACATTTCCTAATCTGTTGATTTTGTTGATCTGTAGATTGTCGAATTGATGTCTGTTGTGGCGGTAGAGGAGGCTGGCGGCCATTTTGTTCGTTATTGTTAGTCATGTACTGAAAAAAAAAGTAACATCATTTAGCACATTTAATTTATAGAGAAAGAAGAAATCAGTTTTTAAAACATTAACTCGTTATACAAACCACAGTCGCCCTATTTCCTCTGAAGTTTGATAAAAATAGAGTAAATTATTTACATACACCACCACATCCAGCTCTACACGCGGATAGAATAGCCTAGCTCATGGTATGCGATTCTTAGAAATTTGAAGCTATTAAAGGTTGACATTCAAATGTTCTTTTGGATAACACTGATCGCACCACCGCCGTGCCGCCGTCCACATTCAAAGAGATAAAATATCAGTTATAAAAGTGAAGACCGTCCTCGTTCGTTGACTGTAAATAAATAGACTTGATTGATGGATGACGTAGTGGTTACATACTCTTTGGATGGATGGTCAATGGTCATAGACTATTTATATGGACCTATTTAAATTGCCTATGGTTTTTTGTCTTTGGTTCAACTCTATGATAAGTGCGTGCTCTATGATAAACGTAGTGCTTATATTCTCTTTGGTGCAATGATGCGAAAAATAAAAGGTTCATTTCATTGTCGGTTGTAATATTCACAATACTAAATTCTTGAACTATTTGTTGACATTCAAAATGTGCTTTTGGGTAACGCTATTCGCCCCACCGCCGTCCATATTCAAAGAGATAAAATATCAATTAGAAAAGTGAATGCCTTCCTCGTTGACTGTATATAAATAAATTTAATGAATGGTCTTAGACTATTTGATTAAATATTATATTCCATAAGGCAATGCTAAATATAGACCTGTTTAAATTACCTATGGTTTTTGTCTTTGGTTCAACTCCATGATAAATATATTTATTAATGCCAGCCTAGCGCAACTTAGAAGAAAAATAAAAATGTATGGACTTGGCACGGCAAATAATGGCACACGGAAGTAGCCGGATATTGCCATCCCACTCCCTCAGTACAGTTCTCTTTCTTTCACTAATCCGTCGGCCATTTTGTTTGAAGTTTTGAACTTTGAATGTCGTTGCTTTTGTAAGTTTATGTTGTTATTTTCATAATTTCATAAATTTACGTATAATTTGTTTAGTTAATTAGTGGTTAGTGATACGGCTGTGACTAGTTACGTGTTCAAGTAAAATGCCACCAAAAAAACGGTTTCTAACTTGTGAAATCTGCGGAGGTCGATCCGGTCGTAAAAATGGCGAGAAAGGGATGTTTATGGCGAAATTTCCTTTGGATGAGGACCGGTAAGCATTAAATGATATAATTTTATTTAATTCTAAGTATAAAAGGCTACAAATACATGTAAATTGATTTTCATGTACTTATTGTGTACCTACTAGTGATGTACCTCAAGTATCGATAGTCACAGACTTATGTGTGGGCTAAACTCCAAAGATCCCTTGATTTATTTATTCTTTCGTGATTTACTTTCCAGACCACACCAAAGAAGTAATGATGTTATTAGATGTTGTTGAACAAAGTTGTGACACGACAAACCCAGTAGATTTTAAGAAATTAATGATTAAACGTAGATAAAAATTTATGTATACTGTATTCGTAAAATTTATGCATTTATTATATAAGGAACGCCAGCTGTTTACACAATTTAGAGTTATTCATGTCAGGGACTGTCCATTTTGATTTTTTCCATTTTTCAGGTGCCGGCAGTGGGTGAAAGTTGTTGGCAAAGAAGATTTAGTGTATGTGCCCATAGAACCAATTTACTGAACCAATATATGTATTAAGTATTAGAGTCCACTTAATTTAAATAATTTTAGTTAGGTCCTTAACACACCGTCCGTATAACATGAATTTGAATATTATTACAGAAATATATTTTTTAGTTATTAATATAGCACAATGTTTTATTTCAAATCCGAACTTTAGTTCGAAACTAAGAATTAAAAAAGTAATATGACCTCGATTTCTACCCTATAAATATTATCGATATCGATACTAAACCTAGTATACAGCTACCACAGAACTATTTGGTCTTTTAGGTTGGTACTATTGATTTTGACGGCTGACATCTTTTATTTATTGCAATGTAGGTATTAGAGTGCCGTGTAAATTGATTCCACTGGCTTATAAGGGAGTCCCGTCTCTTAAACGTAGTGGTTACATACTCTTTGATTAATGCAGCAGCAATGAGAAAGATAGGTAGGTAGGTAGTCGGTAGGTAGTCATATTCAAAATACTTATGTATTATAAGCGTACCTAGTGGTTATGGTTACATACTCTTTGATGTATTTCGTGAACTATAGGTATTTGAACTTCATCATTTTTTATATTATTATTTTAGTCAAACTTCACTAATCAAAAATAGACAAGAAATGTTATTGTAGGGAGAAACTTTTTTGTCATTTCAACCCGTAACGTATGACATATTGTTGGATAGATATTTAAAGATGAATATCTCTGTACCCAGATAATTTTTTGATATTGTTCACGCTCACGTTTTCAGAAATATTCGCTCCAAAAGTTTAGTATAACTTCTGGACCATAATTTCAAAAATATGAAAAGAGACACTTAAACGTGTAAGGTTTAGGTAATAAGTCAAGCTCTGTTCCTGTATTTAATCTATATCTATACCTACTTATAATAAATCTGTAGAGAGATCAATTCTTTACATTAAATATATTTTCAAAATAACTACCAAGGGGTGATAAGTCATCGATAGTTTAGAGGTATGAGGTGTGGTGGTTATGCCATAGAATGTAGGTAGGTATGTAGTATGCCGCTATATCACTGACCCCCTAAGCGAAGCGTACGTTTGGTTTCACTGTACGGCCGGTGCGGGTGACGTAGGCGTCGCGGGGTGGGTGAATGGCATTGTCCGTGCGTCGTTACTTGTAGTTGTAGGTAGATAGTTCGATGTTTGTTCGCGCGCAGATGCAGTAGGTACATAGTCTTGCTGTTGGTGCGAAGTCGTTGTAGGTACCTCGTCTTGTTGTTGGCGCGTAACTGATGTTGATAGAGTGTCGTCTTCGTTGAGTAAGTATGCTGGTTTGAGTCTGTCTATTGAAATAACTGCAGTACGTGGATACATTTGTATGGTGAAATGTTTGCTGTCGCGCCGAAGTACTTTGTAGGGACCGTCGTAGGGAGGTACTAGTGGGCTGCGCACGGTGTCATTGCGCACGAAAACATGTGTACACGTAGCAAGGTCTTTGTGTACAAATTACCTTGTGGAGTTTGAGTGTGGCTTGCTGTTCGGCGATAATGTAGACATCGTTTCGGTCAGCCGACGGACGAATTCGGCGTCATCGATGTTCTGCTGAGTAGGCACGAAGAAATCTGATGGTATGCGGAGTGTTGAACCGTAGGTCATGAGTGCCGGGCTGACTTCATTGTCTTGTCGCAATGCTGTACGTAGGCCGTTGATAACTCGTCGCTCCAGTTTGTGCGCGCGCATCCCGCCATGAGTGCTGACTTTAGAGTACGGTGCCAGCGCTCGACTTGTCCGTTTGCTTGAGGGTGGAAAGCAGTAGGTAGTGCGTATTCTGTTTATGCCGCACTTCTTCATCAGCGCCCTAAATAGTGACGACTCGAATTGTCTTCCCTGGTCGGTCGTAAGTCAAAGCGGGCAACCAAATCTCGATATCCAACCGTCGTAGATAGCCTTGGCGATCGTGTCCGCGGTGATATCGTGTACTGGTACCTATCGCTTCAGGCCATTTTGTGCAGCGGTCAATCATCGTAACTAGATATCGGTAGTCATTTGAAATTGGAAAAAATTAAAACGGGCTGATAGTGTGCCGCTGTACTTTCGCTCGCTGACAACCGATGCATGTTCTTGCCCATGTTCCGACTTCTTTGTTCATGTTCGGCCAGAAGAACTTCGTAGATATTATTTTTCTAGTAGTAGGTACGCACGCCTGGGTGACTTAAATCGTGTTGCGCTTTGAATGCGACAAAACGATATTTTGCGGGTAAATAAGGACGAATGTTGCCTGTCGATGTTTCACAGATAAGCGGTCGTTGACCTCCGGGTAGTGAAATACTGGTGAACTGTAGGTTTGGATGTGACATGTATCTCTGTAGTTCTGGGTCGTTTTCCTGGTCTTGAGCGAGTTTATTGTAGTCGATGGAAGTTTGAGATAGGTCGATCTCTTCTATGCGTGATAAGGCGTCGGCCGCTTCGTTGTTATCACCGTGTACGTACTTAATATTTGAACAAAACTGACTTATGAAGTGAAGTTGTCGTTCTCTTCGTGATGTGTCGCTGGTACTCGGTGATCTTGTTAGTGCATAGGTGAGAGGTTTGTGGTCGGTATATATCGTAAGATCGTTGCCTTCTATTAACCTACGAAGGTGTTTGACAGAAATGTACATCGCTAATAATTCGCGATCGTACGCACTGTAACGTCGCTACGTCTCGCTCATTGTTTTTGAGAAAAATGCTAGTGGTTTCCACACGTTGTCTACTTGTTGTTGCAGTAAGGCGCCGATGCTTGAGTTTTTAGGAGTGAGAGCAGGGAAGCTTGCGTGTTCATATCACGTCGGGGTCACCAATTTAGGAGTGAGAGCAGGGTTTCTTCTTATTAGTGAACTCGAGGCTGTCGTGATTTGGAATGCTTTATTCGGCCAAATGTCCCTACTTATATTTTCTTATGGCTAACTTACACGCTATCACACATAGGTATATGTCATCTACCAATAGCAGCGCGCGTTTGTCGCAAGGCTCGACAGAGCGGTTGCGCGCATGCGCCGTCGCGGTCGCCGTTCGTCGCGATGTCGCGAGGCTATAATAGGGCGCGTGCCGCGTGATGCGTCCTTTCGCTCCAGCCTAGCGCAACTTAGAAGAAAAATAAAAATGTATGGACTTGGCACGGCAAATAATGGCACACGGAAGTAGCCGGATATTGCCATCCCACTCCCTCAGTACAGTTCTCTTTCTTTCACTAATCCGTCGGCCATTTTGTTTGAAGTTTTGAACTTTGAATGTCGTTGCTTTTGTAAGTTTATGTTGTTATTTTCATAATTTCATAAATTTACGTATAATTTGTTTAGTTAATTAGTGGTTAGTGATACGGCTGTGACTAGTTACGTGTTCAAGTAAAATGCCACCAAAAAAACGGTTTCTAACTTGTGAAATCTGCGGAGGTCGATCCGGTCGTAAAAATGGCGAGAAAGGGATGTTTATGGCGAAATTTCCTTTGGATGAGGACCGGTAAGCATTAAATGATATAATTTTATTTAATTCTAAGTATAAAAGGCTACAAATACATGTAAATTGATTTTCATGTACTTATTGTGTACCTACTAGTGATGTACCTCAAGTATCGATAGTCACAGACTTATGTGTGGGCTAAACTCCAAAGATCCCTTGATTTATTTATTCTTTCGTGATTTACTTTCCAGACCACACCAAAGAAGTAATGATGTTATTAGATGTT